GTGAATATAAGATGAGCTCACTTGTACCTCCACCTTTCATGCATGTATTTCCTGTGCACTCACAAAGAGAGAGGAATAGATAAAAGCAAACTTCACCTCAACATGACCAGTCCAACCATCTCCTTTTCTCTTAATATAAATATTTCAACACCACACACTCACAAAGTGCATTAATCTCCACTTCTGTGAGTTTGAATAATGAATGCAATAAAAACTCTCTCTGCTACTCTTAATGTTGCCTCAAACTGCTCCTCATCTGATCTGAATGGGAGATGCCGGCGGTAGTAAGGGTGGACTGCATAATTAGAGGAGATGATGAGTGAAGAGTTTGGAAAGATGAGAGAAGGGAACTATAGAGACAGGCAGAGGGGAAAAAGTGATGAAACAGTTCAGGGTCAGAGGCTAACAAGGAGGGAATACTGTGGCAAAAATTGTCTTTCACATCCATGAATGGATTCCTAATATGTCCTATAGTCAAGAGGTAGAATGATAGAGACAGCGTGCAAGGACATGAGACAGAAGGAGGTACAAGGATAGAAAAATGGCTGTCCTAATGGAAGTTAATGCTTTGTTCCAGACACAGGGCTGTTTTGTTTTCCACCTTGGCCGAACCTTGGACAGACATGTGTATTTTTTAACATATATTGATAGAGTTGCCTGTCAAATATATAGCTTAGGAAATTAACTTCTCTGATTAACTATGACATTTAATTAATCTCCTCTAAATGCTGCAGCAGCGTCTGCTTTCCATTGTAATAAAAGGACATAGTGATGTGGCTTTTAGGCTACAGAACTGGCTGTGATAGTTTGCAGTCTAAGGACTCACACACTTCCTCTCTCTCTAACTCTTCACCCCACTGGTCTCGCACTTTGTTCTGTTATTTCTAAGGGTTTGTGATGGTGAATTTTTGACCTTATATACAGTGTACAGTACAGTAGGTGTGTTTGTGCATTTTGATTTTTATGTCATCAAATTTTCTAGCCACATCTTTTTACTAAAAACCCAGCAGCTCAGCAACTGTTCTTGTCTTTAAGTCCCTCCAAACGCACGCAGCTCACAGACTAATGCTGTGAAGTCAAAAGAGACCTCATCCAGCATTTTGTCCCTCTTTTTTCATTTTCTCCTCGCTTGTCTCTAGCACTCATAGCCAATCTGAGCCTGTGACTAAAGCGTCATCTTCCCAGGCTGCACACTCCAGGCTATATTTTATCACTGGGTCTGCAGGCGCTAAGAGCCACCTCTGGATTTAAAGAGCATTTACTCGTTTCCGCGCTCAGGACGTCGCTCTGCAGGAATCAGCAATTACACGGAGATCCAACAACCGTGCATCAAATATATTTTGTGGGACAAGACAGCTGGAAGCACGTTGTAGCCTTAGGGCGACTGGTCAGCTTGCTTTTCGCCAAACATTCGATGCAATGAGACAAACGTTCAAGAGAGAGAGAAGATAAGCTGATAGTGAGAACAGAAAGGGTAGCGAGTTTAAAATGCCCCACGTCGATTGAACCCGGAGCAGCACTATTACAAATATCTGACCTCGACCTCCTCAAACGGAAACTGGTTGTGAGATGTCGAGATTTCCAATCATCTCGTCTCCTCCTTCAACACACATGCTGCCGAGGCTGATGATGATGTTTGCGTAGGAGTGTTTTATTGTTCGGACAGCGCTGGTTGACCAATTCAAACAACTCCAGACGAGCAGTGCATGAAACTGTGTGCGTGTGTGCGTGTGCGATTGTGTGTAGCTGGCTGCCTGATCCAAACATTTGAGATAATATTATTTCTTATTGAAGCGCGGCTCATTTTTTTTGTCACCATTGGAGTGTTTTTCTGTTTCCTGGAATTGGGCAGAATATGTTTTGCAAGCGGGAAAAGTAGTCTAGAAATAAAGAACATCAACGTGGACCATCTGCAAAAGGAAGCATCTGCGCTTGTGTCCTTCTTTAACGAACAGCTAAAGAGGATCAGGATAGCAGCGATTACTTCACCAGCACTGGGGACTTTCTTTGTCATTTTTAACTAGTGATTGAGTTCGACATAACATAAAACCAGCAGAGGTCGGGACCTGACCTCCAAGGAGCAACCGCTGCCCTAGATGTGACCCGGTGAATTCTTCTTGTCTCTGAAGGTAAGATTTCAACAAAGGTTCGTCTTCTGTCTCCAGTCACTCAACCTTATGTTGGATTTTCCAGCAAAGCGCATACATATGCTGGTCATGTCAAAATGAGCAGCATGTTAGAAAACATATGACTCATTTCGAAGAGATTAGATAGATAGCTAGATAAATGACTTTCTATTTCAGCACCATGGACAGAACCACAGAGGCGTTTTCTTCTTCTTCTTACATCAGAATGTAAAATTGATTATAGTCCTATAATCATAAACATGTAGCAGAGTGTGTTTCTAGGAACTTTAAACCATGATCAAGATACAGCCTACTGGTAGGTTGAATTTACAGATACAGATACAAAGACAGACTGGAAGATAGATTAGAAACAGAGGGTAAAAGAAAAGTAGAGATTCAGTGCTTTTTATGGCAGACTTGTTGGCTGGTCGGCTCACCACATGCTGATAAAACAGCATGGCTTGTGAGCCACAGCTACTGTCACCAACTGTTAGCCATGGTTACAGCCAAACAGTTTGGTCCAGATATTTTTAGGCAGGGTGGAAATGCAGCAACATTTCACTGAATGCAGCTACGATAACACAATATTTTGGGCAAAGTAACCCACTGGAAATACTCTGGTGGATGAGGTAGAAGCTAACGAGCTAAAATATGAACCCACAAGTGTAGTCATGTCTATTTAATTGCAGCAACTGTGTTCGAGTTTAATAAAAGAAGATGCTTGTTGACTCTAAAAACAGCACAAGGGACTTGAGGATTTGATTTGATCTATCAACAAACACTAGAAAGAATGAAAGGGATATTTCTGACAACCTATGATGTTATAAAAATAGAGAAATACTTCAGACCTTTCTCATTTTTTATATATGCAGCTTTGATAACTCTTTACCCTTGTTGTTTGTGTGTCATATGAAGGTATTTTAAAGTATCATCACAAAGTAATACAGCATCTCTACTGGTGAAAATATAAAAACTCTGCTGTGGTATTTGAGAGTCCAAATTTCACCCTCAGTTCAGGCTCTCTTGCTATCTGCAGTATTGTGTCCATTTTAGTCCCTTTTAGGATGGATTTGGATTTATTGATTCTTATATGTGAGTATTTGTGTATGTTTACCTAAAATCCATCACCTCTTCCTCATGTGTAAAAAGTATGAAATGAAATCCTCACATCATAACCACGATCAAAACATCAAATGAGGGAATATCTTTTGAAAGGTTGGAGTTCATCCATCAAGTAGACTTAAAGAGAGCCCGTGGAGGCTTGTGGTGGCCCAGCACCTTTCTAATATACTTAATCTTTTTCTTCAATTTGTGAGAGGGAAAGAAGACTAAAGGTTGTGCACTTACTTGATATTGATAACTGAGTCCTTTCTTCTACAGCTGTTCATTAAGCTACAATGAAGTCAAAGAAATGTCAGTTTTGTTGCCATGTTGTGTTGTATCATTTCGTGTCGTATCATTTCATGTTGTTCTGCTGCCATTGCCGTGCCTCCTGGGGGGCCTGCCCTCCAATTTGGAAATCACTGATATAGTCTGAGACAGTGTCACCTAAAGCTAGTGTGGAAAAGAAGACCTGCAACATTGAAAGACAAGGCAGGGCTTGTGTTCACGTGTTGACTTCCTCAGTGACCCTCACAACAATCTTGCCCCCCTGGGAGATCAGTCATACTACTGCCTGCACACACATACACACACACACACACATACACACATACAGAGCTGCACTATGAGCTGCTCTACCAGCATCTCAGCCATTACAGCAGGAGAGAGAGGGAGCTGAAAGACAAACAGATGAGTAGTATGGAAAAGCAAATTTCAAAGACAGATGGATGATGAAAAATAATGGAGAAAGGTGTAGAGAGAAGAGTGCATTTAAAACAGGGAGAGAGGGATGGGAAAGAGGCAGATGAGGGAAGGTTATTATAGTTGCAGCAGAATATTTACTTCTTTTTTCCCCAGGCATTTAAAATTTATTTACATATCAGCCTAATTACCTTTAAAATGCCCTGTTGGGAGGGGGAATCATGATAGATCCTCTGTGTGAGGTAAATCAGAGAAAGGAGAAGTGGAGTGGATGGACTGAGAGTGGGGGAAGGGAATATGGCAGTTCAATGATCATGTTAAACAGTCACCACCCGTTTCTCCCTTCCTCCACCCATCTCTCCTCCCCTTCCCCTCAGCTCTCCTCTTCCCTCACATCTACACCCTGACGTGCACGCGCATCACGCTTATCTACAGACACATTTCTGTGCAGACACCAGTATGACCAGCGCACACATCCCGGCACAAGCACACGTGTGCACAAACCATCAGTCAGCTGACCTCATCCCAATAACTGAAGCTCATTCCAGAAAAGGAGGCGAAACAGCAGCAGGAAGAAAAGCTGTTTTTCCTCTTTGTGCACCATCCATGAAACTACATTATTGTGTATGTGTGAATTTTTATGTAAATATTGTATGAATAGGGCAGATAATTGGATTAACCTTATGATAGACAGACACCTTCAGTTTCATTTGAATTAAAAACATAGAATGTTTTATGTTTCCCCAAGATATTTTAGTTATAGTAGCAGTTATGGCCAGTATCCTACACTTCACAGTTATGCAACTTTTATGTCATCGTTGAAACTGTGAATACTAGCCACCAGGTATAAAAAAAATGTTCACGACAGCTTTTGACTTGTAATTGGCAGAATGAGACACACCATATACTTGATTCATGTAACTTAATAGGACCTGCTGTGTATACCGCTTGCTTCTGGTTTCACTTGGCAATGAACTGCTACAACCAAGAAGCTAATTTAGGCTTTTTCTTTGGTGTGACTACAAGGCTGGCACTAGAGCTAACCACCTTGCAATAATGCATGAACACTTCCAGGGTGGACTGAGGGGTGTTTTCTTCCCATTCTGCTGATATTTCATGCATGCAGCATAGGCCAAACAAAACCATTTTTAAGATCTATCTGCTTGGACAAATAAGGATTTCCTCAACAAAATTAGGCCACTCCTCATTACTAATGACTTGTCATGCTGGACCCTATTGCTGCTGTGTTCCCAGATCGCATCAGTGGGTTTGGTGAGTAAAATATTAGAAAATGCAGTAGAAATAATGGCTTAAGCTGCAAAAATAAAACCTATGTTGTAAAAATAAAACATTTTCCTTTAAGACTGGCAAACTGTTCTGTCTGTCTATATGGCCTGCAGCACATTGCATATTTTACACACTAAATACTAAGGCAGAGGGTATACTGCTAGAAGTTTACCATTTCCATTAGATCTGTAATAGTAACCTATTTCAAAGATACTTACACACTTTCTCATTACAGACTTTATGGTCCAACGCTTTTTTCTTCAGGGCCTACATTCTCATTAAAGGGTGGCTAAGTTTAGCTGCTTTATGTACAATCCAAGACTAAATAGATGCAAATGTCAACATGGAAAGCGATGAAGCAAAAAGAATTTGAGAACAGCCTAGCTCAGCAAGGTCATGACTTACAAGGTCACTGATCACAGCCAGAGTGCACACTAGACAAGGGATTCTCCTTCATACATCTGTCTTTTGTGTGTTGCATCTTATTATGCCTCTCTGCAGTTCTGCCTGGCTGTGCTGTGCTTCGTCTTTATCGGTTTAGGGATTAACTTGCAAAGTTGGTTCAAGTACAGTCAGGATAGATCTTCTACTGTAAGTGTAAACCACCCACTCAAAAAGCAGAAAATGCAATGATAAATAAGTTGGTAATCGTTCTGTCGTCATAGTAACTGAACCCATTTGTATTTTTACACATACTGCCTCTTGGACACTGACCATGACCACTAATAATCAAGCTATCATCAGCCTTGAGCTTTTAACACATTTCTTTGAACCACCTCAAGGACCCGTGTACATCAGTCCTGTCATCTTCTCAAAGGTCACCTCTGCTGCCTTTTCTTTTTCTTTGTTCTTCACTGACATTTTCTACTCCTTTCTTTGTCTTCTCTGCCTAATCACTCTTTTGTGCTGTTTATTTTTATGCCCACATCCTTTATCACCTTCCCTTTCTTGTTTGTTGTTTTCCCAATTTTAAACATGTCTACTTTTACTCCTGCATGGGTTTTTGGAGGTTTGCCTGGCTTTTCCTCAGCACCCAGGACTTTCTGTTCACCTGCAATCTTACTAGACATATTACCAGTTTTATTGAGTTTCTTTTTGTTAACTACAGACAGAGAAATAACACGCAATACAACAATGTTAAAATACTCTTCACAAATGAATGAAGAGAACCAGTATGTCTATCCAATCCAAACTGTAGAAGCTTAAATATAGCCTTGCCTAGATGTTTATATTATTTTATTTCAGTAGTCCTCATTGATAGTTATTTGCTGGGGTATATTTCTTTTGTTCTAAAGTCACTAGCCATCTTTGTCTTTTTAGGAATTGTTTTTCCTGAGAGGGTTTGGGTGATGACTTGTTTTTAAAGTGCTTGGACATAGATTAGCAATGATTTATAGAGCTTTGTAGCCTTTTATTTTCTGTGAACAATGATGCAAAGGCAGATGATGATGATTTTACTACCGATGATTTACGTTATCTCAAGGTGCAAGGTACAAAGCTCAGCTCTTCACTTTTCTGTGAATCTGCACTTTTCCTGATGTGCAGTTTTCTCTCTCTTGCCTGTGCCAGTTCAGTATTTACATGACTTACTCCAGCCACAGTTGATGAACAGGCTCAGTAGAGGGCGTGTCTTTGGCAATCTAATGTCTGCATCATGAGCCTTCCACCACACACCTAGACCAGGTCATCCACCCACTCTGCATTGACGGATCATGCCTTACCTTTGGTTTCACTAAAAAAGCACAATTGTAACATTAACAGTTTTATTGCATGAGGGGATAGAGACAGAAATAATGTGTGTGAGAGAAGATACTTCCAAATGTGACTGAGGAAGTAAACATACCAAACACCAGTCTAAGAATGCAGAGTATTTAAGTGTGTGTATCACATTCCCCACACTGCATTTTTCTGTATACAACAGCTGTGTGACGATTGCATCAGTACCTCAGTAGTAGCAATAATGTCTGACGCTCCTGACACTCTTTTGAGCTGAGAAACCGCTTGTAAATAGCATTTTTCCTTGACATAATCTGCTTTGAATATGCAAAAGAAATGCAGCAAGATCTATCCTTCTCCATGTTAGAGACGCTGCCTTTGCTTGTGAGTGACACCGCTTCTCCAGATGATGTTTAAAACAGAGGCCTGCCTTAGCTCCCTAAGGCAGTATGCATCAGCTGAACAGACAGAGAGTGAGAGTGGTGGTGAGCAGAGAGGGAGACAAAGATAGAATAGCAAATGTAAAGACAGGCTAAACAGACGAAGAGGTGGACTTACAGAGCGAGGCTTTAGAAAGCAAAAGCAAGGAAAAGATGGCAAAGAAGTGAATGGCATGACTGGCAGTATGCCAAGAATATGGATGGAAATATTAGATCAAGCACATCAGAACAGCACAGGTGCCCAGCTCCCATTGCAAGAAGCGTTTTGCTTAGAAGGCAAGTGCAAAGCAATTTTTCCCCTTATCCATAAAAATAAATACAACCTTTTAGTTGAGTCTTGTAACACTAATAAACATAGAACTGCTGACAAAGAGACCCCTTCCCTTCCCTTCCCTAAACCATATGCTTTATTGGATATGTGCCTTTATAACAGCAGCTGGGGTAATCTGGGGAAAACCAGTTTATGATGTTATAATTTGACTTGATCTTCACTACATCACCCCTTGTTTCACTACATTTGCTGTGGCATCTGGTCAGGTCTCTGAGTGTCTTTGCAAAGCACGAGTGCTTATCCCTCAGGTACTGTGTGGTGTGTTTTGTTGTAATTTCCCTGCATATATTTAGACTAATTATCAGATGAACTATCCAGGATGAGGACATTATGACTGATCAGGTTACATGCCCTTGATTTACTGTAACAGGAGCTCAAGAGTCTATCATACAGTCTGCAAAAACTGCCTGCCTCTCTTTAAACGTTCTCTCCTCTCACACAAACAGGGCATACAGATGCAGGCAATTTTCTTCTGGCTTGAAAGAACTAATATATAGAAATGATAAAAAGCTAGAAGGCGCTAAAAACCATGAAATACCTTCTGTGTGGGTTGTAGCTGAACTGTTGCAGCATCCATTCCATCAAGACTGATGATTATGATAAACATTTGTGGAAAAACTATGTAAGTGTTAGGAGTTGCTCTAAACTGCAAAGTGCATGGATATATATTGTATATAAACTGCTGGAATTTAACTCTATATTGATTTTAGAGCTACTTTTTATAGCTTGTGAGATTAATTGTGATATGTGAGCTACTGTATGTCTCTAAATGAATACTTATATTTGTTTACATGTGTTTAGGCCTCACACATTGTATCAAATAATTAATTTGGCAGATTATCTGAGACATGTGGAGATGTTTCATGATGCATTTTCCCCAGCAACCCAAAACTAACCCCAGAGTTAAAATTATATGTACCATAGTGTGGGTTAGAGAGAGAAGGTAGGGGAAAAGTCTAAAATTAGAATGGTCTCATTGTCAAGTGTCAAGGAGCAAATGTAATTTAAAGGTGTCTTATCTAATTTAGGAAGAGGAAAAGGAATTCAATTTATCTGAGAGCAAAGTATTACCTGAGCAGACCGTGTAGACAGAAGGAAGGTGCCTTTGTGTGTGTGTGTGGGTGTGTGTGTGTGTGTGCAGTGCATGTCCTTACAGATGATTACACTTGTGGGTGGCTGCAATAACATGTTAACCTGTCATAAGGAAAGCCTCAGGACTGTATCATCTGTTTGGTGTGTTTGCGGGGCTAACATCCTTAGGGACGTCCGAGTCACAACTGACTGTCTCCTTTGTCACTATCATTTCTCAGGAGCAGATTTAACTGATGCTGAACTTATAAACTAGGCGTGAACCAGTGGCAGGCAGCAGCTAGTGTTATTAGACTGATTTAGCAGTGTTTAGAGGTAGACTAGAATAGAACAGATATGGCTTAGTGCACACTACAAACACAAATATGGGGAGATTATGTATTGCCAAAGGTGAGTGAAGCATACTGAAATTTGGTTTTGGTTTAATTATTGTAATTATTTTTCCAGTATGAGAGTACAAACAGTGCATAGAAAGTCTGTCTCTCGGCAGGCTGATATTCTGTCATAAACATCTGTTTATTTTGTGGGGCCCAGAGACTGGGGACGCTGTCTGTTGTATTTACACTAAGCAGAAACAGTAACTACTGCTTATTAAAGTGAAGTTGCTTGAGATGTGTGAGTGCATGAGAGTGAATGAATGTGTGTGAAGAGGAGCTATGGTACAGTAGGTGTGTTAGATGCTCTATAGCATCAAATATTGTCTTCTCTATTCACCTGAAATTACAATCATGTATTCACACACACACTGACAAACAAATATGTACACGTTCATGGAGGTATGCACACAACTACAACACTATCTATATTCTCAAGTAAGCCTGCTTTCACTGAATGTGCTGGTTGCAGCTATTGTTTGATTGCCTCATGTATGTAATGGCCTTCGCACACCAAGCTGACTTCCATTCATCCAGTGCCACTGAGCTATCTTTGAGCCTCTGTATCAGAGCACTGGATGTAGATGATGCACTGTGTCCAGCACTGCTGACACTACTTGTGTCTCACCAGTGGCTGATTGAGCTTGTTAAATCCACAGGGAGAGAGAGTCACTGAGATACTGTATACACTGGACAGATCTGGAAGGAGTAAAATACCTTAGATTCTAACACCTGTTGCAACCTTTGTCACTGAGATCTTGAATGTTGTTGTAATATATTTTGATCATTAATTTAATTTAATTGTTCTCTCCGCTAGTGGGTCAGGGCTAGTTAAAAATCCAGATGCTCATAAAGTTATCTGGCTCCTTTACATGTCTATAACAAATCTGGGTACTTTGTAAAATAAGATTGATATGATTGAATTTGCTTATTATATTGGGCCTAAAGTGAAAATTAAAGCAATGCAGTGACAGTCACACTTTTAAAAGCCTGGATTTGCTCTTGAATTCCACATATATCTGTGACAAGAGTTGCAGTGCACTGAGGACACCTCAGTTTCAGGGCTAAGAACCACTCCATCTATCAACTGTGAAGTTCAAAACACTGTAATATCTCTAAGCCAAATTCAGCTCTTGCTGGTGCTAAGATTATAGCCTGTCACACACACACTAGTGGTATTATTTGCACAGCAGAGGGTAGAGCATGGCAAGGCAGAGGGGAGGAGTAGGAAGTGCAGTGGCAGACTGACAAAATGTGATTATATGCAATTATTTTGAGATGATTTGAAAGTAAAAGCTCGTTTTCTTTAAATATTCAGAGGGAAAGACAATTTTGGGAAAAAATAATGTACTCACAGACTGACAGATCAATAGCTGGCAACCTTTTAAAAGATTTTTTCAGTTCAATTTTTATACAGTAAAAATAATACAATTCCAAGAGGAGAAAGCAGGAAACAATGTTTGCAGTGTTTCACATTGTTTGCACTTTACACCACCTCTTAAAAGTATAGTGAAAAGGGAACTCCACTGCTGCCACCTTAGAGACACACACACATCATGCTTTAACTTGGCCTCTTTTATACTGACATGACGAGATCGTGTCACTCCACAATCGTCATGACTGACATAAGTGCTGACGCCCTCATTATGTGATTTTCTCCAGGAGCAAAAGCACTTAAACTCACTAACAATCCATGTTCTGTTGGTTTTGTGTCCAGAATTTCACAAGAGACTGCTTCGTCCATGGACCAAGGTAAATAAAGAGCCCATAGTTCTGTGTATGATAACATAAATGAAATTTATACCTGAGAAGGACAGAAGGGTAGTTTAAAGGGGAATGTTAATGGCTTTGATAGAACTGACTTGTGGCTTAACAAAGAAGATATATAGTATTCAAAAAGAATTTAAAGTACATTGAAAATATGTTTCAAATACAACAAAAATCCTATTAAAAGGCTATCAGCAAATGTATAGTAGCAGTTTAGTTTCATCAGAGGTTGCCTATACTGAAAATATTTGCGATGCCTGATGGGGTGTCACTTTCAGTAGTTTTTATCTAATTTATTTTGAGTCTGTAGATTTCAGCAATGGAATATTGTGACACAGACACCATGAATATTCTTTGTTACCTGTAGTGGTTTAATCCAAAAATGAGATGAAATTGTAAGGGGCAGTTTTGAGAAATACTTTAGGTGATGGTGCTCTAGTGAAAAGGTTCTGGTATCTGACAACATTGTGATCAAAATTCCCAGATATTCCCAAAAATGGTTTAAACCTAATAAATATTTTGTCTAAAATTATAGTAGTGCTGTGGATTAAAAAAAAAAAATTGTGCTCTGTTGCTTTCAGTGTATGCATGTTCAAAGTTACAGTGACACTTGTTACATCAGAGTGGATTTTGAACTGACAAGGTCATTCAGATGGATGAGAGACATTTAGTGAGGTGTAAAAAAAAATGGAGAGACCCTCGGGTCACCGTTAAGTCTTTTTTTCCAAACATCCTCATGGTGCTCATACTAGCCAAGAGCCATTTTCATGATTTATCATTCACAGAGGAGCACTAATTACAGAATCATTTCCAAGGCAGTGCTAGGACACATTGTAATGTTTAATCCATGGTTACCAGAGAAAACTAGTCCCTTCTTTTCTTCACTCACAACCCCAGATCTTCTCTCTTTCTGGAAGCTTTTGGAATTGTTCTGGTAACTGACTCAAAGTCAGAGCTGGGGATGAGCTAAGTTGGTCATTGCTTTTCAGTAGGGGAATGAGACTGGACAGAGTTACCTCAGGCTTGCCGTGCGTTGTAATTATTCGTGGAGGTGGCTGAAAGGACATAAAGAAATTGTGGCAAGAGAAAATGTGTATAAATTTTATGCTGGAACAGGGTGAGCCAGCAAAAAATAGAGAGAGGTTCAGAAGAATCATCTGATGCTGCAGTCAGGGCTGGTGCAGTCACACAGAGTAATACTGAATAAGGCTTAAGGCAGAATTTGTAGGTTTCTTTTCAGAAATGTTGACTTCAGTCTGTGTGGAAGAGGTGGGCTTGTAAAGATGGAGTCATAGCGAGGGAGTGATACTGTTAAATTTGGCAGTGTACTGTTTCACCTCCATACCACTGGCCAATCACATATGAAATGGGTGGGAATGTCACATCATCACTGTCAGGAAGTTGCTGAAATGGTGAGACACACACCCCTTAATCTGATTTTATAAAGGTGAGCAGGGACACGGCAGAGTATAGTGGCTTCTTGACCCTTTGTAACTCATTTGTATAGCGCTGACATGCACAGAAATGTAAAATAATTTGTGCTTTCAGGGGGAGTTGCCTGCTTTAACTTGTTTTTGGCAAACACCAGCTGGATATATTGATTTTCTGAGGTCTTGAGCTCAAAAAGAGCTTGGATAAGTTTAGACGATTCTTATACAACATGTATGACACAAGAGTCTTTAGCAAGTGATGGTACATATAATGAATGTTACATAATGGAAATCAGAATTAATTATAGTTTCCTCTGGTAAGGTGATATACATATTGTAGGTGGAAGTTATGTAAGCCCTTAATTATTTTTGGCACTAGTTGAATACTCACTGATTGCACAATCTATTAGAGGGCTGACAAAGATTAATCAAGGACAAAATGCTGTATTCAAACAAATTTTGTCACAGCACTTAAAGGATAAGGTCAGTCATTTGCAATGGCCCCATACAGAAACCATGCCATGGCCATCTATAGACTAATATGTGGGTCTTGTGTTTCATAATTAAGAAACATGTCAGTGCTGTGGTGTGTTTCGCTGATGTGTTTTTAATTGTTCTTGAACAATTAAACAGGGCTCTATGGCATAGATGAATAAGCTAATCCCTGTTGGAGACTGACAGATTCTAACTGTGAGTAGAAGTAATTCTTTGTTGGTTTTATTCCCTGTATAAGAGTGTTGAAAAGTGTTAGGATAGAAAATGACAAGCCTTGTCCTTTAAGGTAAGCAGAGCTGTGAATTTGAAAAACACTCTGAAGACTATTATTCACTAAACTTTGAAATTAAAGTACATTTTAGGGATATTTGGCTTGTGTCATTTGATTAGAGAACCATATGTGTGAATGCACTGTCTTTGTGTATGGCTCCAAGTGTGTGTCCCCTCTTTGACAGCCACAGCTCTAATAGAGCTCATCCAATTGTTCTCAGGACATGTTATTTTCTCTTGTGTATGACTTGAATCCACCACCTAATGTGCACTTCTGAAAGCCCGTCAACAGCTATTATTCCTAGCAAGACCTCTGCTGTGATCCCTGCCATGTTTCATCAAAGCGTGGCAATTTATTCCAAAGCCCACTGTCTGAGCATGTTAGCTAGGACTAAAATTATTGCATATGAGTGTTTGTGTGTGCGCGTGTCCAGTGCTATTCTTCTTTCAACATCACCTCTAGTCATTCCCATGAATGAATACCAGCAAAAATAGCTGAGCAGACAAAGGTGCCTTTCTGCAGTACTATTTCACAATGGAGTCTGAGTTGTGTGTTTGCAGATGTATGTATGTGGTTAAATAAGTAACACTGTTTGCCGCCTTGCTGCAACATATCCCTCACAAAGTGATCTGATTAAGAGAGCCTTGCAAGATGCACACTCCCTACCTACCCTGCACAGTGACTAATGCTGCATGTAAGTGTATGTGTGTGTTTGCTGGATGGTTCAAACACTCTCTATTTGTATACCTGCAATAACCTTTCCTGTGTCATTGGTTGTGTACATTATAGCATTTGTAAGCGTATCAACATCTTGAGTAGTTTTGTGTTGGTTTTGTTATTTGCAGCAGTAATGCACAGACATTCTGCACATAATCACCTTTATCGCCTTTATTGGCCAAGTATGTTACACACAAGGAAGCCCTTGGTGGGGGTTCAGTGTCTTGCCCAAGGACACTTCGACACATGGACTGCAGGCACTGAGATTTAATTCTCCAACCTTCCGGTCGGGAGACAGCTGCTCTACCCACTGCCATGTTGTCTCCCCGAAGTAACATACTTAATGTTACTTTGCCATATGGCTGTACAGTATATGTATGTATAGTATACGGCAATGCTGAGTACACCCCTGTGCAATATCACTAAAAGGTTAAATGATTCAAAATTGCACTGTCTTACAATAAATGTAATATTTTTAAGTTTCAGTAGTGGGTAGTATATTGGATGCATAATTAAAAACAAACAGGTTTGATAAACTACAGTGAAAATAAAAGCTTCAAAGTAAAACCTCACAAGTGAATGGTTTCCAGTTATGACTAATTGCATGAACAAGGTTATGAAATGACCTGTGGACACAGAAGAATTTTAATCAGATAAAACCACAGTAAATGTGTTCGGATGTGGTCCAACAAGTTTGGCATTGACAAAGTGACTGCAAAATGCATCAAGTATAAAGCTGGGAGTGTGCTGATATGGCATATGCATGCTATACTTTGTGTGCACCGTGTATAGATAATACATTTTGATAACCTTATATATTTTGTCTCAGGTTTAAATTTAAACAAATATAAGAACAAATAAAATGCACTTTGCCTTCAAATGCTATGTTTTACTAAAAAAAAACAAAGAAAATGTCTCACTGGCTGCATTCTTTTTGTGAAGTATTATTAGAAAACTAAAGAAAAAACCTTCTTGGCCATGCAGGGCAGTGGAACAAACTGTAAACACATAATTAAAATATCATCACCCTTTAAAACTATGTCAGCCTGATAAATTAAGCCAGTTTAGAAGTGTCAAACCCTGCAGGACCTTGAATGGCTACTTGAGGCTGGCTCCAAAAGGGAGTCAATCCCCATAGACTCCAGTGTTAAAATATCCAACTTTACAGCAATAACAAATATATTTATAGCCTGGTAGAAAAAAATTGGTTTTGGTCTGTTTACTTAATTTTCCCTTCCATGACAATTGTAAGGGGGTGAACTGTTTTAGAACTTGCCAATTTAAATTATATTGAGGCTAAAATGTACACATTAATTAAGGGCGTAGTCATTTTGAGTGACAGGTGGGAGGGTCACGCCATAGGTAGCTGGCAGCTACTTGTTGAAGGAGTTCCACTCATGCTCTGCATCTTTGCCCATTTTTGGATTAGAGGTAGCTAGCTGTGTAATAGTCCTAATTATGCTGGCCTTTTTTAACAGAAGTATTGCTTACTGCAGCTTTAAGCGCATCATTATTAGTAGACAAGTGATTAATATTTAATTAAGCTCCAAGACTTGATTAGATGCTTACCATGCATTACATCAGTAACTGTCAGCTTCACCTAAATGACAGACTGCTTCAGAATTCAGACAGTGACGTGCGGTCAGGGGAGGCAGGTGAGGCAGAGCCTCCCCTATCAATCTTGAAAAGAAAAAAAAAAGTTAACCATAAAATATAATAAATGTTAATATTTGTCGGCTGGTGTGTGTTGTAGGCCCTTTTGCCGTTCGAATCCAATGTTGAAGGATTTTTTTTTTCAATAAAGAATAGCAGAATTTCCGTATGTCCTGTTCAAATACATGGAGGAGATGCGCGATGAGGCAGCACTTTGCTGTGCCTCTCAGTGGATCGTGTAATCCTCACAAACTGTATGCGATGCAAATAGTGTGTCGCTGTCCCTCTATATATCGCAAATAAAATGCTTTCAAACACTCTGATTATATGCTCTGCCTTGCCATAATCTGGATAATGTTAACAGACAATTTGTTAACGGTTCATTTGTATTTGTAAATCTGACTGTAAAAGAGTCAGTGCCTCACCAGCTGTTAACCTCACCGCACGTCACTGAATTCAGACTCTACTCCTGTTCACTTCTCCTGACACCAAACATGTCCCAAAGTCACCACTTTTCCCACTTAAGTTAAACCCAGAGCCTTAAAGGCCAAAACGCTTTTCTTGTTGTTCCTTTATATTGATTGGGCTGATGCACTGTGTGCCCTGCAGATTGGATTAGAGTCCAGCTGTAATATAACTTGAGGAAAGAGAAGCTGCCTTGTGTTTGTAGACAGGGCAGATAGCTACTGTAGAGACGGCCTGATCTATTCCAACTGTATAGCGTATCTCTTGAAAGGCATATCACAATGAAAGATAATATGCTTTAGAAAAGTTACCAACAAAGGAATTCAGTATGGTTTTGAGGTTTTTCAGGATGAGAAGGTCACAGCTGTCACTCATATGGTGAGTAGTACTCTCTTACAGAAAGGTGTTTGTGAGTAGGTTCATGGATGCTGCTGAAGAGCATCGTCATCACCAGGTTGTGGAAGTTGAAACTGGGACTTGGAAGCTGCTGTAAATTGTGTACTGGATGAGAAGGACATTTTGTGTTGGTTCATTTATATTACCTCAGAATGCTCCATATTTTGTGTCATGACTCTGGTAGTCCTGCTTCTTTTTTCAGTATTGCTATTTTAGGGAGTGTCCATGTCACATTTGCCTTAGAACTTAACAACGGGCCTACACTGCTGCATGCTTCTTGCTGATTATGGCTTATACTGTTGAGTTATAACTTAGCAACATGCCTGCTGGCTTATTTTGGCTTCAAGCAGTTATCCACAATGCAGCGTGATGATGTGGTCCTATGACACTTTTCTGGATGTAATGAAGAGAAAAAGTTCTGTACCCACATCTGTCAAATATCTACAGTTTCCCTCAAATACATAAGAATGGTACATCACCTAGATACTAAATAACAACCTCTTCATTTGTATTTTTAAACAGTGTGTGGTGAAAACCATGCAAAAATAAAGCGCGATATACAGGAGGGCAAACGGGCACCATGACAACACTGGATTAGAGAACGGGGGAATCACTTTTTACCATCAAAATATTGTATGCATGCACAGCAACCTCTCAGAGTGAACAGTAAATAGTTCAGTGGATTGTTCATGGACACTAACTGGCACTTTCCTGCTTTTGTAGTTCAATGATTTTATATATTCTTATATGATTTTAGTATTGTATGTACAGTGGTGTGAAAAAGTGTTTGCCCCCTTACTGATTTCTTATCTTTTTGCATGTTTGTCACACTGTAATGTTTCAGATCGTCAAACAAATTTATATATTAGTCAAAGATAACACAAGTAAACACATCATGCAGTTTTTAAATGAAGGTTTTTATTATTAAGGGAAAACAAAATCCAAAACTATAGAGCCCTGTGTGAACAAGTGTTTGCCCCCCTGTCAAAACACTGGTTTATCGCACCTGAGTTCAATTTCTCTTGCCACACCTGTTCGCAATCAAGAAATCACTTAAATAGGACCTGCCTGACAAAGTGAAGTAGACCAAAAGATCCTCAAAAGCTAGACATCATGCCGAGATCCAAAGAAATTCAAAAACAAATGAGAAAGAGAATAATGGAGCTCTATCAGTCCGGAAAAGGTTATAAAGCCATTTCTAAAGCTTGGGGACTGCAGCGAACCACAGTGAGAGCCATTATCCACAAATGGCGAAAACATGGAACAGTGGAGAACCTTCCCAGGAGTGGCCAGCCGACCAAAATTACCCCAAGAGCGCAGCGACAACTCATCCAAGAGGTCACAAAAGACCCCACAACAACATCCAAAGAACTGCAGGCCTCACTTGCCTCAGTTAAGCTGAGTGTTCATGACTCCACCATAAGAAAGAGACTGGGCAAAAATGGTTTGCATGGCAGAGTTCCAAGACGAAAACCACTGCTGAGCAAAAAGAACATAAAGGCTCGTCTCAGTTTTGCCAGAAAACATCTTGATGATCCCCAAGACTTTTGGGATAATACTCTGTGGACAGACGAGACAAAAGTTGAACTTTTTGGAAGGTGTGTGTCCCATTATGTGTGGCGTAAAAGTAACACCGCATTTCAGAAAAAGAACATCATACCAACAGTAAAATATGGTGGTGGTAGTGGGATGGTCTGGGGCTGTTTTGCTGCTTCAGGCCCTGGAAGACATGCTGTGATAAGTGGAACCATGAATTCTGCTGTGTACCAAAATATCCTGAAGGAGAATGTCCGGCCATCCGTTTGTGACCTCAAGCTGAAGCGAACTTGGGTTCTGCAGCAGGACAATGATCCAAAGCACACCAGCAAGTCCACTTCTGAATGGCTGAAGAAAAACAAAATGAAGACTTTGGAGTGGCCTAGTCAAAGTCCTGTGACAGGGGGGCCAACACTTGTTCACACAGGGCTATATAGTTTTGGATTTTGTTTTCCCTTAATAATAAAAACCTTCATTTAAAAACTGCATGATGTGTTTACTTGTGTTATCTTTGACTAATATATAAATTTGTTTGACGATCTGAAACATTACAGTGTGACAAACATGCAAAAAGATAAGAAATCAGTAAGGGGGCAAACACTTTTTCACACCACTGTATGTTGTATACCTTGCAAAAGAGATTGCAAACCTCAGTCAGATTTTCCCTGGTAAAATAAAGTCTAAACAAATACAATGTTTAAAAATTACAGGAAATAAAGGAACTGCTTTTGATTATTTGAATGTCTTTACAATTTTTTTGACGGATGTACCTTACTTTCAAAAGTAAAATGAATATAGGCTCAAGGCATCTTCCTGTAATTCAGTTCCTGAAGAGACTGAAAAGAGTTAACTTACAAAAAGCATTGATCTAATAACCTGAGAATGAGGTTAGTTCAGTCTGTCATACTGCTGCAAGTGTTGTGTCGTACTGCAGCATTCAGTCCTTTAGCAGCATGTGGCATGTAAAAGATTCCGCAGAGCTCCATGTGTAACAAATATCAACCACCTGAACTGATGATGTTTTATGTATTGAACTCATAAAAACTTTCTCATCCTGATCAGGATGTAATGGCACAGGATTTTGCTCATGCAAAAAGACAGCCTGCTGAAACAATAACCTCACAACACTACCTGGAATAAATTACTGTACATACAGTATCAATACAAATGAAGCATACAGTTTTTGCCACCTCTTTTCATCTTTGTCTCTGATTTTATCATAATGAAACATATCTTTGTCACCTTGTTTCAAATTTTACTTCTCATGCCATCCATTCTATTACATGAGATATTTTAGGTGGAGCTGAGAGTAGTTTTCATCCATCAACTGATATCTCCTTGGTTTAGACTTTCAAACTGTCGTGAGATGAATCTGATTAAGGACACAGTGCTTCAACATGCTCTTTCATTGTGACTTTGTAAGCCACTCCAGGAGTGTCCCCACACATTCAGTGACTTGATACACCAATAAATTGATAGTATATTGGTTGAGTTCCCGGCAACTGATGCCTCAGGTACAAATGTGTAGCCAGGGATTCTTTCTTATACAGCTGCCCATAAAACTCCAAATTAATGTCTTGGTATGTATTGGTCTGTTCTATACAGTTCAGTATTACATTTGAAAACAGTGGTATGAGCCATAAATCACTACCTTAGCTGTGGTGCCAAACAGAGTCATTATTTCTGAGATAATTTTTTTAAGCATTTGAAGCATGAACAGAAGTCTCAGAGATTAAAAGTGTTCAGTAGTCAGTGTGTTTTGACTGGCATTCATCCGCATGCTTTGTTTGAAGATTTACACAAGGTTTGGACACAAAAATCTGTGACTTGTTCTCTATATGTTTATGTTATTTTTATTTTTTAGTCACCCAATCAATCTGTTTCTTCTGATCATCCCATCGCCTCCATAACCTCTCTCATCTGTCTCTCACATCACCTTCTTACTCCCTTCATTTTGACCTCCTGTCTCTCTTTTGCTTCATCTCAGTTCAGTGGTTGATCTCTTTGTTCCTATCACCTGTTCACTCAGTTGTACTCTCCTCACTCCCACCATCCATTTATCCCTTAGCTCTCCTGTCATTTCTGCATCTCATCTTTATTGCTGTTCTGCTGGGGAAGATTGATTTCTCTATCTGATATTCCTTTTTTTCTGAGACCCTGTCTATATTATGAGCAGCATTTGTAGGATGATTCTATTATGCCTTCTAACTGCCGTATAATTCAATAAGCACCACTGCAATGACACAGTTAAAATCTACTTAATGAAACCACTGTATTGATGACTCCCTACTTCCTCCCCTCTTTCCATTTTTTTCTTTCTGCCTCTGCTCCTCTCCTCCCATGCTGTCCTCTTGCTCTCTGCAGGGTGTTGATGGAGAGCCTTTCGAATGACAGCCGGGACAGTGGTCATCACTGGTGGAATTCTAGCTACAGTTATATTACTCCTTATTATTGCAGTACTGTGCTACTGTAGGCTGCAGGTGAGGCCAGAGCTGTATTCAGTCTCTTTTGGATTCATTGTTTGTGACCTGTGACCTCCTGGAGTTTCTAGTAGATGCCTGACAACCTCCCAGACCCAAGAAATAGAGTACATCCTATGTCTCTTATGAGCACTAACATTTCCATCACTTGCATCACTTGGTTGCGTCTTAGCCCCTCCCATGTACAGTAAGACATGAGGAAACAACCAGAAAGACTTCTGTGTCGAGTGAGGATTGAAGCCCAAGGAAGGATCATATAAGAGACACAAGATGCATCTTTATATAACAGATCCTCACTCCTCAATCCTCACTTGACCTGGAAATTGCTCTAGTCCAGAAACTCTGAATAGGGTCTGTGACATTTACTGTTGACATATATCTTTAAAATATGTGTTAGATGAACTGTGATTCAAATCATCCACTAATCACAATGTCTGTGATTTAGTCCATGGCTCTTCTTGTCCTTGTGTCAAAGTGCTCTCAAATTCTCCTTTATATTTTACATAACTTGGTACTTCCTCTTCTCTTCCTTTTCTCCTTTCTTCTTCTTTCCATCTTTCTCAATCTTCCACCACCAGTATTATTGCTGTAAGAAGGAAGAGTCCGAGTCGGAGGAGGAGGAGCCAGATTTTGCGGTTACGTCCCGCCTCCCACCAGTACACTCCAATCACAACATTGTGGCAGCTACGGCCGCTGCCTCCTCCATCCCAAATGGCCCCACCCTTTTCTCCACCCCTCCACTGGCCAGGAAACTGACACGTTCACAGACCATCTGTCCATCCTGTACACACTATGATCTACCTTTTTACCTCCAGCCCCCTCAGCCGCAAATCCACCACCAGCCAGATGGGTTGAGGAACGGAGGTGACCGGATCAGCTACCGCAGCGTCCAGCAGCAGGAGCTGGACCTGCCAGTGCCTGTGAACATTTCAAACTACCGCAAGCCACATCTTGCCCGGTCAGTCACAATGCGGGACATGTTCACACGCAGCTGTAGCATCAGCACTGATGTTTAGCTAGGTGAGGTTGGAACTTGATGTAAATGTATGCTGAAATGGGTTAGGAAGGCCCTAGACTGGACTGGGCTTGAGTCAGCCTTTGTTTTTGTCATTTTGACACGCTAAGTCCAATCTAATATGGTCTAGTGTAGTTTCACATCATTCTGCTGATCACCTCTTGCAGAATGAAGGACTCAGGTGGCTCTCAGGAAAGGATTTTTAAAGGTACTATGCTCAGGTCCAGGGCCTTATACCTGGGCCAACAGAGAATTTAGAGTATTTCAGAAATGTTAAATGGATTGTTTTTGGTTTTGAATGATCATTTTTAATAATAAGAATGAATTAGTTTTACAATTTGATAAAAATTCATGCAGCCCTACTTTCTTTAGACTCCTCTAGCCATGGCCTGAAGGTCAAATCGATTTCCACCATGTCATAATTATATAATCAACAGGGATTTTCTCTTTGCAATAGCTGCAAACAAAATAAGTTTAGGAGATGTTCTGTGTTTCCCTCTCCTACGATAGGATGATCTCCACCCACAGATTACCGAGATTATAATACTGTATAACACTCACGACCAGAGGAAAGACTCGAGGGGAAAGGGGATTGTCATGTTTTAGCTGCCACCCACAGACATTTTAGGTAGACTTAACTTAGGCCATACTATTATAAAACATAAAGGGCTCACAGAAGATGTAAATCCCTGGTTGTTTTCCATATCCTTTTATAGAAGTCTCCAGGTTGAAGGGAGACTGGTTTCTCTGAGTGTCTGACATCACAAAATGTATATACAGGCTTCTATACTCAAGCAGAGAAAGACCTCTGTGTTCTTACAGGCAGGGTGAACTAGGTGCCAAAGGTGGCTGGGTTTTTGTGTATATGTGTGAGTGTGCTTGTATGCATGCGTGTGTGTATGCCTGCATGTGTGTATGACTCAATTAGTAGATATACCACAATTCTTATTCCATACAATTAAGCGCAATCTGTCAACCCCATGTATACTGATCCCAGTGGTGGGTTGCAATAAGGTTTTAATCATTTATTGTAAAGGGTGAAGGTATTTTCTATGTGTCACTTTGTGTTAATGCAAAGAATGACCTAAGCAGATGATATGGCAGTGAGTTTTGCAACTAAATGTTTATTTTACTGATTAATGCTATAACACAGGCTCAAGCTATACGTAGGTGCCAGTTTAGAGGCAGAAATGTTTGACAGCAACACTTTTAAATTTACAGTGAAATCTTCACTATAGTTCTTCACTAAAGTTTCAGTTTATGGGCTCTTTAATGCATTTGTTGTGCTGTCCCTGATTTGTTAATATATGGATTCACGGGCTAAAGATTAATTCACCTTTAGAGGTACACAACTATAAATATTTAACAGGCCATCGCATACACTGCAGTCTCTTGACTTGCTGGACTGAGGAATGTTTGCTCTTGAGTTCCTTCTTGAAATTATTTTATCTTGTACTCTTGGCTGACTGGCCTGACTGGAGAGCTGATCTTGTGACCGGAGGAGCAGCAGCAGAGACACAGGACACACATTTAATGAATGGAAGTAATTGCTGGTGGTTGTGTAAGGGGTTTTAAGCTGAAGTCCTTTTGATGGACACCCACCCCCTCTCAAAATGGATGTTAAATGCTATTGTGCCCCCTTCTATCTCTCTCGCTCTCTCTGTTCTTTCTGTCTCCCTGTTGATTTTATTTGCAGTCATGCTCACTTATTTGAGTGAAACAGTGAGTGATTTTCTTTTAACTTGCCTCTTGTGACATGCGCTTTCCTGCTAATACACTAGGACACAATACAAACAGTATGCACACACACACACACACACACACACACACACACACACACGCACGCACGCACAATAGTTCTCAATGCTATGCTTTCCTTATTTTTGAAATAGAAACTACATGACAGCTGCACAGGAAATTTAGTGCCATAAACAATTATGAGAGAATATATTATTATTATCAGTGTATATTCAAATGCAATGTTGCTTTTAAAGTATTTGAATTACTTGCTTTATTTTATGATCCAGCTGGTTTTTCAGACTCAGTACAGTAAAGCAGAAATGTTTCTGTCCTTGTTTCTAATGTATAACTAAAGACACATTGTTGCTAATAAAATAGTGTGAAAATCCTTCTACTCTGTTTTGTGGTGGCCATCTATTTCACCAAAAGTCAGCATTTCTTACTGTTCAAATTTAACTTTTCAACTGTTTTTGAATGTTATTTAAAAAAAAGCTTATTTACTGTAATGTGTATTGCCTACACAGGACATCACAGTGCTATATTTCTGCTGACTGCTAAATGTTGAACAGGCAATTCAACTAAAAGCATGCTGCATTATCCTGGATTATCCTATTTAGCGAACTGCTAAAGGCAGGGTAAACATCAGCTAGCTTAAATATATGCTTTGGTTAGAGCGCCACATGATAAAAAGCAGGGCTGGACTAGTTCCTGTGAGCAACCTTGTAGAAGATTTGTTTCTTGTCTAGACCAACTTGATTGGAAGTGATATGTAGACCACTCATTTCACTGATCAAAGAAGTGTACTGCACATTTGTGTAGGTATCTTTTTTTTACAGTAACATAAATGACTTGTCTTGTCCTGTAAAGTTACAGTTGTAAATAAATTCAAAAGACAAGCCTACTAATTTGTTTTTTTCTTATGTTAAGAGTCAAATACATACTGTAACAGGTCAAATGTTAACAGCCTGCTGAGCCACTAGCCACATCAATAGTGATAAAGTCTGTCTCCACACAGATCCAGTCAGCTCTGAAGTGGCGAGGTGAGAGCCATGACAGCAGACATGGCTGAACAGGAAAGGGTAAGAAAAAAAGAATGAGATATGCAAGTGTGATGATAAATCAGTGTGACAATTAGAGGTGAGGAGATGATAGCCTTAATGAAAAGTCATGTGTATAGTAAGGCTAAAAGATGAAAATGGAAAGCTTTATTGTAACATGAAACGGTGAGTCAGAGAGGGAAGCAGACCAATCAAACAACTGAAAACTATTTCAGTGAGGAAATAGAGGTAGTTATTAGAATGATGAGTCAGAGCTAATGAATGAGAAATAGCACATACCACAGAACACACAGACAGATGGAGGCGTAGAGGAGCTGATATCAAACCAAGGCATCCTGGCAGAGACATGAATAGCCATTTTAATACAACAGCACTGCTTTACACATGAAAACCTCTTTAGATTATGATGGATTCCCTTTGATGTTGATATATTCAAACTCCCCATTATGTCTACATGAATTGCAAGCACTGTAATAGGGAATTACTGTCACACTAGCATTCCACCCACAAGACAAATTGGCTGAAAATGTATTTATTTATTCTTCTTACTGTCACCATAATTTACATGTAATAATATAGGGCCACTTGAGGCAATGGTGCAGGACAGTTAGATGAATAACTGCATCTGCAAGGGTTCACTGCTTTTTTTTTTAAAAACTGACTTTTAAAACCTTTCTGGCAGGTTCAAAGTGGTCTTTCTTTGTCTCTTTGAATACAAAAAGGAAGAAATCCACATAGTCTGATGACATTTCAATTGAGCTGCAGGACATTTTTAGCATACTGTAGTTCAGCTAAGAGAGTGGAAGCAGGATTAAACTGATAGGTTAACTCTGTCCAAACATAAGGTATTGGCAGCATTAAGCTAAATCCTCCTGCTGTTTGGAATGAGGTCTATCAATACTGTTTTGATTGAGGCTGGAGGTATGTGACAGTATCCTTCCATCACAGATGACATTGTCCAGCTCAGCAAGAGTCTGCCTCATAGCTAAAACAGCCTAACAATCTATTAGCTGCTTTCTATCAAAGAGCCTGAATGATCATGTCAAAAACTAAATATAAACATAAATCTTTCCTTCTGACTGCTGATTCTAAGTTTTACTCCAGCCAAACCTCCAGAATGTGTATGTATTTCAATAAAAAACACTTCTTTCTAATGGTCTGGTTGCATAAGGTAAGTAAACTGCCTCAATGTTTACCTGAACTGCAAGAGTATACATTTTTGTATGTGGATTTTTTGTGTGTTTGTTCATTTTGGCATGCACTCCCATATTTGTTTGAATATGTGTTGGCACTATATTTATGTTAATAAGCACTTGTGCAGACTGTATGAATTATTTAAAGGCATAATCATTTCCAGTGTAAGCAGAGCTCGTAGCACGGCCTTTAGAAGTGTATCGATGTTTTATGACATGCTTTGAATCATTCACTTCATTTACTCCATGCCCTTCGGCAGTGTGCACACTCTCACTCTGTCTGTCACTGGATCTCTTGTCTTCTTTTTTTATCTTCATCATCTATTAGCATTTTCCCCTCCCTTACCCTACTTGCATGTGTATGTGTCTATTTTATGGTTCTTGGCCATTATTCCCCAGCAGTGGGATTTAGATGCAGTACAGAGGAGTGGCTGAGATTCCATAAATAATGAACATGATAGATAGGAGGCTTTCCAACTTACTTTACAAACCATAGCCTTCTGCCCCTTCTCCTGCTTTCCTCTTTTTGCCCTGCTGTCTTAACCACTGGTCCTTTTCCTTCCACTCATTTACATTTACTGTTCTTCTCCTTCCCTACATTCCTTATATGGAATGTTCTTTAGATTGCTAGCAATTAAAGATAAAGAGCTAGTCTTGGTTTCATTTGTTGAAGTTCTGAGATCTGTTTCTGAGATTAATGACACCAAATAAAATACAATCAAAATACAAATGTGAATTTGGGACTCAGTGCGGACTACAGGTGTGAATACTAAAATTAATGATGACTGAACTTCATTTAACTTCTTTGAGATTCAAGATTCTGTAAATGTACAAGAGCCTCTAAGTATAAAGCAATACAGCCATGAACACACCTTCATGCAGTATACAACATACAGCTACATTCCTGAGCATAAATACTTTAGTCTTTTATTTTGGCCTTTCTGAGCCCACACGCTGCCAATATGGACATTACCCCAATTGCCAAAATAAACAACAACAGTTATTAGATTCCCGATCAACGAAACTCCAAGATATATAGCAACTATTCTGAATAAGTAATAGAATAACGCAGACACACTTATTGCTGTGTCAGAAATGGCGAGAAATAGCCCTTACTACCCAGTGTGTGTAATATTCTGATTTCTAAAAGGTGGAAAGGCCGGGTCTCCTGTCTGAATTTTTCATTGCCAACCCTCTCTGTCTCTATATAACAACTTATAAATAAGCAATGAATCCTGAGGACATAAAGCAGAATGGACTTGACCCAACACCAGCTCTCTGGATACATAGATGCACATTTTGTCTGCCCTTCTATTTCTGTCTCGCCTTCTTCTTGTCTCTGTGAACCCTTTCTCTCTTTTTCAACATGCTCTCATTCTCTCTACCTTTGTTTTCAGAGCTAAATCATTTTGCTTTGAATCTGAGTCTGAGAGACAGCTTGGTTGGTGAGGAGTCTAGAGTAGCCTCCGTTTAAATTAGCATATGAATGCATGCAACATCATCACTCCCTGATTATGCAATTTTCTCTTCTCAGTGTAAAAGTAAAAAAAAAAAGAGTGTGAGTCTGTATGAAAGTTGATTGGGAATCAAGTGAGAAATGTGATGAAGACAAATAAAGGAATTGACTTAAGAAGTATTTTGTCGCCATCTGGTGGCCAATAAGAACAGTAGTTTTGGTGATACATTCCAGCCAAACATAATGTTAATTTCATGGATGTAGGCTATTATATGAGCTATCACTATATTGAACAAAAACACCAACCATTCTCTGGTTGAAAATTCGCTCATGAGAGGATTTGCTTTTTTTTGCAAATGTGTAATTGAAAATTCATTTTTTTTGTGGTTTAGGACTGCCTTAGGTCCAACAGGACATTTGAAGATGCAACTTTGGACACTGGATGCTTTATTTTGACATTGTATGTAAATATTAAGCAAGGAAATTGCCAGGGGTTAAGTAATAATGAGAATAAATATTAGTTACAGCTATAGCTCCTGATTTATTATTGTTGTTGTTGTTATCACTGATGAGCGTCCTTCATCACATAGTGTAGGACACCATACCATCAACGTGCTGGCTCGCTAATTACTTAAATAAGGAAGAATAGGAAGCCCTTAAGAACAGGAAGTCCAACCTCCTGGATTCAACAACCAATCAAGTTTTAGTATGAGTGTATTTACCGTGAGCCGCGAACTGTAATCTCAGTATGTTGTGATCGAAGCACTCACATTTTCAGTACATGTAAGACAGTATGGACACGAAGCAGTCCGCAGAAACTCACTGCATTGTAAACAGCGGTTTAGTTTCTAGGCCGGAGGGAAACGACTTGAGGAAAGGAGAACTGAAAAGGTAGTTAACCTAAAACTTAACGTTAGCCTTAATTGTTAAGCCCAGCTAACAGAGGTAATGCTAACGGAAAGTAGGGCTAACTGTCTGCTAACTTCACATAACATTAATGTCAGGCGTTAACTTACTGATTATAGTTATCAAAAAATGTGTTTGGCCTGGGATTGTTACGCTGTTACACTGTTCCCTATTCTTGCTGAGTTGATATATTCTGTGACTGTATTGTTGTTGTAGCGTTAGCTAGTGTTAACAACAGATGTTCAAAGATGCCACTATATCAGAGGTGGAAACATTTGTTAGGCCTCAGTCGTCATAAATACCACGTATGCTTTGATTTTATTTTGAGAAAATCATATATTAATGCCCGCCTACAAGTCAAAGTTTACCCACTTTCCCATTGACAACAGCAGTTGTTTATCCTCCTCTGTTGTACATTAAAAGAACCATTTTACCCCCAGGAGGTTTGATTGACTGCCTCCCTTATTCTATTAAAAATGTCGTTTTACAGAACTTGTCAAAATGAAACTGACTTTTACCATGCTAGCTTGGCACTAAAAATACCACAAACAGATGTTTGGCTTCTTAATAACTAGTTCAAGTTCAAAGTGTTTTATTTGTCACATGCACAGTTAGGAAACGTGTTTCCCTGTACAATGAAATTCTTACTTTGCCGTCCACCTGAATGCCACAAAATACAAATGAAATATAAAGTAGATAAATAAGTAACAAAATCTAAGGCACTTTAAGCAGCAAATGCAGCCATATAATAAAAAATATATAAGAATATAACAGAATGTATGCTGTATGGGAGCAGCATGTGCAGCAGTCAACAGTCAATGTGCAATTATGCATGTGCAAACTGAGTATGTAAACAGTACATCAC